TGTATATCTTCTTTGGAGAAAAGTTTGCTAATTCCTTTGACCAATTTTTAATGTGGTTGCTATGGTTTTGATCTAGAATATCTCTTAAAGTCCCATGTGTTGAAAGCTTGGTCCCCAGACTGTGGCACTATTGGGAGGTGGAAGGATATTTAGGATATGAAGCCTAGTGGAAGGAAGTTAGGTCATTAAGGTCATGCCCTTGAAGAGGTTATTGGGACCTTCCTTGATTCTTTGTTTCCCAGATAGCATGAGGTAAGTAGCTTCCTCTACCATATGCTATCTGCCATGATGCACTACTTCACCATAGGCCCAAAGACAATGGGGTCAAGCAACCATGGACTGAAACTTCTGAAATTTCTGAATCAAAATAAATCTTTCCTCTTTCTAAACTGATTTATCTGAAATATTTGTTAGAATGACAGAAAGCTAACTAACTCACTGGTCATTTGTTTCATTGGTGGTGTTGAGTTACAGATGCTTTTTAGGTATTTTGGATAATAACTCCTCATCAGTTACAAGATTTACAATTACTTTTTTCATTTTATAGGTTTCCTTTTAACTGTGTTGATTCTTTCCTTTGCTACACCGTTGAAGTAGGTTTGAAATAAGGAAGTGTGAGGCCTCTTATTTTTTTCTTCTTTTTCAATATTGTTGTTAAGCTACATGGGATCCTTTGAGATTGCACATGAATTTTAGAATTTTTTTTCTGTTTCTGAAAAATGTTTCATTGAGGTTTTCAGTAGGAACTGCATTGAATCTGTTGATAGCTTAGAATATTATAACACTTGAACAATAATAAGTCTTCCAATTCATAAGCATGGGCTATCTTTCTGTTTATTTGTATGTTCTTTATTTAGCATTTAGAAACATTTTATAGTTTCAGTATGCAAGTTTTTCACCTCTTTGGTTAAGTTCATTCTTGGTCTATGAATGAGATTATTTTCTTTTTTTCTTCTTTCCTTCTTTCTTTCCTTCTTCCTTCTTTCTTTCTTTCTCTTTCCTTTCTTCCTTCCTTCCTTCTCCTTCTCCTTCTCTTCCTCCTCCTCCTCCTTCTTTTCTTTCTCTCTCTCCTTCCCTCCCTTCCCCTCTCTTTCTTTCTCCTGCCTTATTCTCCCATGTGCTGGGATTACAGGCATGTACCACCATGTCTGGTCAATATTCTTAATTTCCAACAACAGATCGGTCTTGTTGTTGTATAGAAATGCGACTCATTTTCAAATGGTGTTTTGCAGAATCTTTAAGGTTTTCTAAACATAAAACCATGTCATACCTGAACAGAGATAATTTTTTCTTTTCCAATGGTATGCCCACCTTCCTCACTTTTTCTCAATTGATTTCTCTTGATAGAACTTTGAGTACTGTGTATTGATAAAGGTATGTATATTTGCCTCATTCCTGATCTTACAGCAAAAGATTCTAGTTGTTCCTCACTGAATAAGATGCTAGCTGTGGGCTTTTCATATTGGCATTTATTATGTTGAGGTAGTTTTCACCTATTACAAGTTCATTAGATGTCTTTATTATGAGTAAAATGATGTTGAACTTTGTTAAATGGCTTTTGTGCATTGAGTAAAATGGATCATGTATTTTGTTTTCCTCTATTATATTAATGTGGTACCTTGCCCTGACTTTCATTTGTTGAATCATCTTCATATCCCAGATATGCTCATGGTGCATGGTTCTTTTCATATAAACTCAGTTGAATTGAATTTGCTAGTTGAATTTAGATTGCTCATAAACTTTGGAAAATTTTTTGCATCTGTGTTATCAGGAAAATGGGCGTGTCATTTTCTTGAAGTGTTCTTGTCTGGCTTTGGTGACAGGGTAATACTGGAATCATGAGATGAGTTTGGAGTGTGCTCCCTCTTCCTTTATTCTTTGCAATAGTTTAAGAAGACTGGTGTTGATGCTTCTTTAAATGTTTGGCAGAGTTCTCCATCTGGTCCTGGCCTTTTCTTTGTCAAGGGTTTTGATAAGTGTTCCAATGTCCTCCTACTTGTAAGTATGTTCAGTTTTTTTTATTTCTTCATGATTATGTCTTGGTAAGTTGTATATTTTCAGGAATTTATAAATTTCCTGTAAGTTACACAATTTGTTAATATGTAATTGTTCATAGTAGCCTCATAACCCTTTTTATTTCTGTGACATCAGTTGTAATTTCTTCTTTTCCTCTTGTAATGATAGATTTTGAGTCTTCCTTTTCTTAGTTTAGCTAATAGTTTATTCATTTATTTGATCTTTTCAAAATCTAACTTTTAAATTTGCTTTTTTTTCCTATTTTTTTTCTTACTCTTCATTTATCACTATCTTAATCTTCATTATTTCCTTCCTTCTGCTGACTTTAGGTTTAGTTGTTCTTTTTCTAGTTCCGTGAGGTGTAAATTAGCTGGTTTGCTTGCAATATTTTTCTTTTTTAATGTAGGCACTTACTGCTATAAACTTCCCTCTTGGTATTTCTTTCACTACATCCCATTAGTTTTGATATGTTGAGGTGTGTGTTTCATTTGTCTCCAGATAGCTTCTAAATTCTCTTGTGTTTTCTTCCCTGACCCACTGGTCGTTTAAGAGTGCAGTGTTTAATTTGCACATATTTGTGGATATTTTTTTCCTTCTACTATTGATTTCTAGTTTCGTTTCACTCCATTGTGCATAAATGGATTTTTGAAAGAGTCTTGATAATAACAGTAAAGAACATTTCTATGATTTCAAATAGCTTGCTGACATCTGTATGTTAATAACACAGTAAATAGCTGCTGTAACCTAAAGCTATCAGTTCAAGGACAAAACACTATGAAATATTTAGACCCCAGGATTTCTTTAAAAGGATGAAGGAGATAGCTTAAAAGTCAGGAGTTTAACACCAATATCTGATGACTATTTTTATCTACCATTAAAAATTATAAACTGTCACTAGATTTATTTCTAAACATATCCAGATGCTACAACAAAACATAAAAATACTGTCTAGAAAAGACTGCAAGCAAATATTGTGCTCTATGTATAGTAGCACTTGCTACATGTGGCTATTGAACTCTTGAAATGTGACTAGTGCCATTGAATAACTGACTTTAAATTTAATTTAACTTAAATTTAAATAGCTACATGTGACTATGGGTATTATATTGTACAGAATGACTCTAGAAGAAGAGAAGTAATAGTCCATAATTATTATGGGCTGATTTAAATGAAAGTATTCAATTTGTTGAGTGAGATATGGAGTGGAAGGCATGTTGTATAGTGATATAGACAAACTTGAGTGCATTTGAAGAATGGGGACTGCATCACACCACAACTGGATTGAAGGGATTTGAGGAGGTCTTAGTGTGAAGATGATAACTCACTTGAGTAATTAATGATGCGAAGGCTAGAAAAATAATTAAAATCATTTTAAATCTTCCTCTAGGCAGAATAAGAACCAATGGATGGCTCAATGCGAGGAATAAATAATCCTTTATACTGTGAGTCCCATATGGCCTAAGCTATATTACCTAACCATTGCACTGGTAAAATGGCTTTACAGTTTTACATCTTTCACTCAGAAACACAGTCCAAGCAGGAGAATGATCTATGGTAATAATATCCCAACTCTTAAAAGTCTTATTTGTGAAAGTGTGGATATTACTATGACAGGAGGAAGATGTAGAGACAAAGCTTATGAAGTCATTTGAGGTCCTCTGCAAGGGATCCCATACCATATTTTAGGGTCAGCAAGTAGTATGGTTTTAGGGTCCATACTTTGACATGACACTAAGTTGTTTCTCTCAGTGAACTTGTGAATTTTGGATTGTGACCTATGAATTTTAATGGAATCTAGAGAACAACTGGATAACCAAATTTTAGGTGATTTTTCGAAGCAAGACTATATATGTTCCTGCGTTTTCTCCCGAGATCACTTTTTCGCTAAAACTTAGTAAGTTAGCTATGCATTTCTAGGTTGTATATTTTTTTAAATTATGGATGATGGTGATGATGACTTTTTATTATTTAGATATCAAGCTCAGCACTGGAGACTAATCTTTATTTTTTTATTGTTGTCTGAGATGTACATTGTGCGTTACAAGTCTTACAATATATCAAGTTCATTTATTGAATTCCCCCCATCATTCTCCTTTATCCCCCTTCCTCCATTCCTGGAATAGTTTCAACAGGACTCATTTTTCCATTTACATACCTGTGTACACAGTATTTGCACCAACTTCACCATCCTACACCCTTTCTCACACTCCACTTGCCTATGTACCTTCCCTCTCCATAGACCTGTTCTGCTTTGCTCTCTGATTTGAGACAGCTTAAATTTGGTTTCTTCTTACAGTAGTATGATTCACATGGCCAAAGGTGAAAAACCAATGTTACATCATAGAAAATAATTACAGAGATGGGTAGTACATACTAAAGTATAATATTTATTCTTTTAAACAAAGAATTCTGATGCATGCTACATATGGATGAAACCTTAAAATCTTGTTGTAATGAAATTAAGCAGACCACAAAGGACAAATACTTTATGATACCCAGAAGAGTCAAATACACAGTAACAAAAAAGTATGTTGGAAGTTGCCAGGGTTGGAGTAAGGGAGAATGGTAAGCTATTGCTTACCATTTGGGATGATAAAAAGGTTATGGAGATGGATCATTATGACAGTTGCACAACAATGTGAGTGTACTAATGCCACTGTATACTTTAAATGACTTGAATGGTAAATTTTACATTACATATATTTAACTATAATTTAAAATTTTTTTAAATTTGATTTCTTGTCAGGCAGGGTGGTGCACACCTGCAATTCCAGAACTCAGGAGGCTGAGGTGAGAGGATGATGAATTTAAGCCAGTCTGGGCCTTGCAGAGAGTTCCAGATCAGCCTAGAATACCTAGTGAAACACTGTCTCAAAAAAAACCAAAAAACAAAAAACATGTTTCATACCTTGGATTACATTAACATCAGTATATGTGAGATTATCTAGGGAGAATGACTAGGACTAGTTTTCTGTATTTTTCCTCTAGCAAATGTAGTTTAAGAACATGTCAATCTGATTTCCAATAATAACATCAGATGGATGGACATTATAATTGTTATATGCAACTGTCATGTCCCAGGCATCAATAATACCCACATTGAGATCCATAAAAATGTCCCTTATGACAAGATTCTGTATATAACCATGAAAGTCACTAAATAGCTCTGTATTAAGATATAGCTCCCTGGTATTTTCAGTTTTAAGTATCACCTTGGTCTCTGGACTTCGCAAGAGTAGACGTTCAATGGCCTTTTTAACATTGATGGCCCTACGGATGAAAATGTCGATAGGGAAGGGTCTGAAGTGTTGGCCAATGGTAATGACAATTGCTGTGCCACTGTCTCCTGCCAACTGATCAATTTGCCGTGGGATGTAGTTTTCATCTTTCACCGAGAACAGCGTTTGGGTAACAAATGGATGGCTATGCTTTTTCCACTGAATTAAAATATGTCTTTCAGCATCCAGAAGAACATGTGTTTTAAAGACCCCGGTTCCATGATGATCAAAAACCTTTAAGGCTGATGGAAAACAAATCAATAAATTTTTTAACAAAACAAAGATGACATAATTTAATAATGTAACATCTGTAAAATTCTAACCAAGACCTACTCTACTTAGAGAATTGCTGCTTATTCAAGGCAGAGAAATTATCAGATGCATTAAAACCTTAATACAATTTTAAATCTCTTATCAGAGTATATAGAAAAATGATAATATCAGTGATTATAAGTTAAAATTTAACATTTTATTAAAAGCCCAAAGCCAAAATTTGGCAAAATAAAATAATAATAATGAAACAAAGATCAGAAAAAGAAATCAAATAACTCTAATTATGATTTTTAAAACCTTCAAAAGCCAACTGTAATTTTAAGATAAAAATAAAATACATACTTTTCACAACTTTTGGTAAAAAGTAAATCCACTGACGCAGTGTTGAATCTCCCATGAGGTAAATAAGTTTTCTTTCCAAGCAGCCACGTATACCTTCTGTGGCATTGAACTTGATCTGCTGGCAAAATGTTGTAATCCACCTTCCTTCCAAAGTATAACCACTGGGGAAAGGAGTCTTCATTCCAGTCTGACATTTCTTTTTTATGTTTTCACTCTCTGGCAATAAAAATTCTCACAATAAGTAATTTGTATCATCACAAATTATTTTGGAAACACTTTTCTCATTTTTGCCCTTCTTTTTCCTCTCATCCTTTCACCCTCACTTTTCTATTTCTGCCTTCTTTTCATCCACAAATATTTATTTAATGCAATCATGTTAAATATTTATTTAATGCAATAAGAAGTTCTCACTGAATAGTTTTTCTTGGAGTGGGAATCTGTTTTCTGTTGTGCTTTCTCAATGTCTTCCTGGGATCCACCTTATCCCCAAGGCCACTCAACTGTGAGACAGCTAACAAAGAAGTGGATGACCATGATATAGCAGGGCTCGGTGGTAAACTGAATAGTTCACCAATGACATTGTCCTTGCCAAATTTTAAGTCTCCTTTCTTCAGCTCAAAGTATTTACCCATGAAAGAAGTTTGAACACATTTATCAAATGAGTGTAACAAATTATTTATTCTGTGTGGACCAAAATCATGTATCTAGCTAATTGAAAAAAATCTTAATTCTTAGTTATGTCTAGGGCTGAACATACTATTCTCAGTGTAGTCTGACTAGTGCAGAAAAAAGCAAGACCATGACTGTTTGTTCTGAATGCTTCACTATTAAAATAACCAAGTCTGTATTTACCAATTCATGTTGAGCTTTCACCCAGTAAGTTTCTGAGAAAATGTTTATATTTGTCACCAGAAAAGCACATCCTGAGTTTGAATTATAAGTTCAGGAAGTTATATCTATCCATAAAGAATTACATCAGATTTATTCCTGTCACTTCCCAACCCCCCATGCCCCCCTACTCACCCCGGGGACACTGTCTTGTAAGAAAGCTTCCTGAATTTCATTGAAATTACTGTCCAAACACAAGGGAAACAAAAAATGTATAATAAGGACTCAAGTTTCCTCAGGAGTGCAGGAGCGTTCTTTGGTGTAGAAGTTGGACATGGACGGTGGTTGACCAGACAGATGAGAGATCTGTCTTTTCCGTAGACTGTGAGCTTTAGTTCTGGGCTCATGATTTATTCATATCTATGTTCTCCACAGGGTTTAGCAGAGTTCTTTGCATGTACTAGATCCTCAGTAAACATTTGCAGAGTGCAATGAAAAAGAGGTAATAGGCAAATGTATACCTGCTAGCTGTTATAACGGAAGTCATTTTCTTTACCAAAATTCACTTTAATTCCAATGTAGCAGAAACATCATTTTATGAATTAGATGACTTTGTGCTGACCACTAAGTTTCATGTGGTAAAACTAATAAGATTCACAGAAATTGCTAGTTCATAGAACTTCAAATGACGTGGTTTGACTAAAAAAAGAAGTTAGAATCCACCTCACGTAACACCAGCAGCCAATTATTGGCTTTGGGTGATAAAATCTCAAGTTTAAATATAAATGACATGTTTATTCTGAAAGAGGGAAGCTGAAATGAATGGTTTCCCTAGCCTTTATATCATACTCAGAATGAAAATTGGTTTAAATTTATGTGAAAATAATTTCCAAGAATAAAATCTCTTACTTAAAACCCAAGGTGGTTGACATACTTTGTTCCAGAAAATAAGACAAAATGGTCTCAAAATAAGACAGTTCTTTAAAATAAGTTGTGAGTACCGCCAAGAGCACACTAGACTTACTGTTACATGGTAAGACCTTGATGGAGCTCAAGTCCTTCATCATTTCAACCCCTATGTTGGACCTTCAAGAAATGAGAAAATAAGTTACCTAACATCTATCCAGCTATTCAAATAAGAATATATCCCTGGTTTAGATGGAATGAACCATGTTAACTCTCTGTAAATGCCTTCTTTAAATATTTTGAGACATTTAAGATATTCTGGGGAAGTAAATGAGTATTTTAGAACACTGTTTTCTGCTACTGGCATGGGATCTAGAGATCTAGAGTGTCACTTATCTTCCACCTGCCATCACTGAAAACTATCTTCTGTCTAGTCTATTATTTATCTCCCCATCCTTTCATTTGCATTCTAAATTCTCCCACAAATTATCCTTTTCATCTTTGTCATCTGTAGTAATTCAGGTCTTCATCAAACTTCTGTTTTTGGTGGTACCAAGGGTTGAACTCAGAGCTTCACACTTGCTAGGCAGGTGCTCTACCACTTGAATCCTTCACCAGCGGTCATCAAATTTTGTTAGACTGGTGCTTTGCAATCTTGAGAATGCATCAGAATTACCTAGAGTACTTGTTACAAGTCAGATTGCTGAGCCTCACTCCCAGAATTTCTTATTCAATAGTTCTGGGGTAAGACTCAAGAACTTAGATTTTAATAAGCTCTGGGGTGAAGCTGAAGTCATTGGTGTAGGGCCATGATATTGTAACAAGAAGTTGCAATTATTATTACTGAGGGTCTCATTAGACCTTTCTTTGGCCCAAGATTAAAATTTATTCCAGATTATTATACTATCCTTCTGCTCCTTTGGTTTAGCCCAAACTATCTGCTGCCTGTTTTATTCTTTAGCACAAAATCTTTCCATGAATTTTCACCAACAGTCTACAGGAAAAGGATCAAACAGCATACTACCTCCTATGAATGTCTACTTCTCCAGCTTCATCTTCATCTATTCCTGACCTTCACAAGTTCTTAGGAGTTTACTTTCATGGTTTGTTACTTCCTTGAGAGTAAAAATCAGGCTGCTCTTCTTCACTGTAATGTTCCAAGTGCCTAGCCCAATAAGCACCACCTCAAGGTGATACCCCAACAATTAGGCTGGTGACTATATCTGTTCAAATCAAATTCATTCTATCAGAATGAAATCCATCTGGAGGAAGGTAGGATTTCCAGAGACAGAATTGCGGAAACCTTCAGAAAGACAAAAGGAAGATTGAAGAGGACTGGTTGAATCCCAGGAAAGGAGTTTTCAGATCAAGTGAGAATAACATCTGCCTCATAAAGGGTTACAGGGCTGGAGATCATAGAAGCCAAGCTGTCTGGAATGTGATGGCTGCCTGGAGAGTTGGGAGTCCTGGGAGAAATGCAAAGGCTCTCAAACAATGAGGTAGATTGGGATTCCAAGTATAGCTCTGCAACTCATTAGACATGCAACTTTGGCTGGGAATTTAATGTGCCTGTACTTAAAATTTCCTCATCAGTAAAATGGGCAAAATCACAGTCACAGTATTTTCCTGAGGATTAAAGTCATAAAGGACTTTAACACAAAGCCTGACATATGGTAGGCACTCGACAAAATGATTTATTACTGAGGACCCTATCAGACCTACCTTTGGCACCAGATTAAAAATTTGTCTCAGTGGGAAATTTGAACCAAGCCAAACCTTTATTTTCCGTCATCTCTCCCAGATAATGTTGAAAAGAGACCAAGACGTGGTTACCTTGTAAATTTGTCTCCAAAGCCAAGCTTTAATGGTACATTAAAATTAGGATTAAAATACATATGATAGCAATAGTACATTCATTTTAGTGCTTCTTGGCTTTGTAATTGTGTGTGTATACTTCACATTTTATAAAATGGCCTGAAATATCAGACCATAGTAGAACCTAAGAGAATTGTGAGCTGTGTTACCTGTATTATGCCTCCTTATGCAGTAAAATTTATTTTTCTACCATGGTTATCCACAAAACCCTTAAAGAAAAAAAAAGAATTTTCTTGTTAAATGTTGAAGGCTTGAGTAGTTGTGGAGGTAGCATCACTGATTCTACAGCCAAGAATGGAAGAGAAGACCCTACTTGTTGTGCTGGGCCTGTGAGGCAAATTTGTGGCTCTCCACGGCTTCCTGACACACAATGGCCCCTGTTCATGGTTCCTGGAGCAACCCAGCATGCTCTTACTCAGGTCCTATTCCTTCTCTTGAGATTGGCATTTCTCCCCAACTCACATGGCCTGCTCCTTCACTTCATTCAGGTTGCTGCTCAAGACAGCCCTTATTTTATTGCTTATGAATGAAAAGTGTATTTGAAAAAGCCCAGCCTCTTTTGATTGAGCACGGGGAAAAGGGGTTTTTCCAAGAGGTGAAGTTGAGTTTGTGTAGAAGGGAAAAACTGTCAAGAAGACATAAAGAGAAAATGTTTTGTCTAACCTGACCATCCTTTTAAAACAGTATCCAACATCACATTCAAATCCCATACTCTGATGACTTTCTGCTATAAATCTATTTATTTGTTTGTTGTCTTTCCATCTCACTATACTGTTAACTCCCAACACCTAGAACTGTGTCTGGAATATCAAAAATACCAATTATAAACTGAATGAATGAATGTAAAAAAGTTGTTATATAGTTCTTGCTTCACAGAGCTTTAATGATGTAATTAGTATATTGGGATGGAAGTAAATGCAATGAAACAAGGAGCAGCACCTCATCCTGGGGTATGGAATGCATCCTGGAGGATATGATGTCTGAACCAAAGGCTATGAAATACCAGAGTTGGGAAAGAACATAGTCCACTTGTGAAATAAAAGGAGTTCTATTTGTCTAACAGAGAGTAAGTCAACATAGAGATGAGACAAGAGACAAGAATTAGGCAAGTCCTTGTAAACATATTTGAGTTTGAAATTCACCCTTAGAGCCATGGGGTCATATTAAGGGTTTTAAGAAAATAAAGGTTAAGAAATACATGTGTTTTAGAATCATTAGTCTAGGTGCAATGAAAAAAATAGATAAAAGAAACATGACTGAGAGCAGAGAAAGGAGCTCTGGAGATTGTCGGAATAACCTGACTGAAGAATGGTAACAGCTTACACAAGGATAAAGGCAACAGTATGAAACACAAATGACTGGGTTCAGAGAGAGTTGGAAGGTACATTATAGGATTTGATGATTCATTGGATTAAAGGGTAGAATAAACTGAGTGGTACTATTCACCTTTTTGACATAGCATCTATTAATAGTATGTACAATTACAATTCCATGGACCATATTATAAAATGACTGAATCTGAACGTATTATACATCATGAAAAAATAAATCTATACTGTATGAATCACTTTGCTGGCTACACTTTTTTTAGCAAAGAACTGACCTATTTGTGACCTGTGAACGTACAACCACCTGAGCTGATGCTGAAGAATGGAACTATTGATGTTGATATTGATGTTCAATTGATGTTGATAACTATTACTTATCAACAACAATTGATATGATAAGACCATTTGCCTAGGCAAAGCTATTAGACAGAGCTTGGTTGATCCAAAGTCTACCTCTCCATATGCCTTATTGTATTTGAAGGATGGTTACCTGTGGAAAAGACTCCATTCTTCCTTGCTAAGATAGGAAATGTCCTTGTTTCTGGAATTCACGTGGGTGAGTGCAGCACAGGGAACACGTGGAGGCCTCACGCAGTAGAAAGCTTCTTGGTCACGAGCATCAAGATACTGGCACAGCTCAGCACTTGTGTTTGGGCTCAGGCCACATTCAGTGAAGACTTGGGAGGTGCCATTAGCAAATTTACCTAGGAACATAATTCTATCATAGCCTCGGTTCCTTGCCCTCCAGAGAGCAGACGCCCCTTCACTGGGGTGGGTGAGTAGGACAGAAAGGGAGACCTGACCCTCCCAGAACAGAGTGAAACTGACAAGGTAGGTGCCATTGTTGAAGTCTGTCACCTTTCCCGAAGCTCCTGCCTTCAGGGCTGGGGAGTACATCCTAGCCCTTAGGAAGTTCCCACCATATTCCTTCCTGTGGCCCAGGTGGTCCCTCGCCTCCAGCAGGATGTCCAGCTGGTCCCCCCTGCAGTATGTGTCTTGAGGGTTGAGGATGGTGGCTGTGCTGTGTTTGGTGCTTGTGGTGGTGTTTATGTGGGTGAAGGGTCTGGGTGGGATCAGCCGGTCTAGTTTCTCCATGATCTCCCTGACTCTCAGCTCAGTCTCTGTTGGTGAAACTGCTGGGTTCAGAGGCGCTTCAGAGGGTGAGAACTTTTTGAAGATGCTCCATTGATTCAGGTCAATAGGGTTTCTCAAGTGGTTCAAGTACTGAAGTATTGGGGGAAAATGGATATATCTATTACTAGCAGATAAGAGGGTTTTCTTTTTAAATATAAATTATTATGATTCATTCTATATCTTTTAGTGTGCTGAAATTAAGTATTAGAAAGCAATTCTAAATCATTTTCATTTATGGAATTACAGAAATTGACTTCCATGATGGTTTCTTTTGGAAGTCATTGGCTTAACAATTAACTAGATATAATAAATATATTATTTCATTATTGAATTTTAATATTTCCCTTTCTCATCCCCTCACTTATCTTTATAACAATCATATAACCATATCATACGAATGTGGAAAACAGAGCAAATATTTTCAAGTATGATCTTACCCAAGTTTGGCTGCCTTTATAGTACCGTATTTTATTTTATTAAGTCTACTCATTTCCTTCCACGTGTATAATTTACCCAGTTGTAGTCATTCTAAATATTTTGTCTTAACATTTTTGCAACTAATATATCATGCATGGTAAGATTTAAATGTTGTTACATAATTTTGATAATCGTTATTTTTACCAATTACATAATATTCCATCAAGAAAATGTAACAGGAAGGGCATGGTGGAACACTTACCATGATCTCAGATAAGTAGGGGAGTGCTTAGATAAGCAGTGATGTAATAGGATAGTGGTCTGAGGCTGGCCGGGGCAAAAAAGTGTGAGATGCTCTCCGAAAATAACTAAATCAAGAAAAGGTTGGGGACTTGGCTCAAGTGATAGAGTGTACAGGACCCTGAGTTCAAATCCCAGTACCAACACACACAAACACACAAAAAGAAAATGTAACATGTGTGAAGCCTGATATATAGACACAATTGGATTATATCTATTTGTTTTCATTTTATGTAACACTTGGATATTTTCTAACTTTCATATACAGGATTACTTCTTCATGATTGACTCCTAGGTATGAAATTACCAAACCACATATTTTTGAAATAAATATCAACCAGCCAAAGAAGGTAGTATTTTTATTCATCTTGACTGTCAAATATATTCTAAAGGTAACATTTTACTCGCCACCAGCAATATGTAAGACTACTCCTTACACTACTCCTGTGTCACCTTGGTTATGGTAGCAAACCAAGTTCAAGTGTGATAAATCATATTGATGTTAGTGCTAAAGTACTGAAAGAAATATTTAATCAAATGAAATCTTTTTTTTTACCTGACAATAAATGCCTTCATATGCACCTGGACAATGAAGCAATTGGAGGAAATGTTGCCAATTTAAAATCAGTCCTAAAAAACTAGCTAGCATTTGTTGCCCTTAATGCAGAGAAACTAAAGCAGATACCTTAAAAGCAACTGAGGCCAATAGGAAAAGGGGACCAGGTACTAGAGAAAAGGTTAGATCAAAAAGAATTAACCTAGAAGGTAACACACATGCACAGGAAATTAAAGTGAGTCAACTCCCTGTATAGCTATCCTTATCTCAACCAGCAAAACCCCTTGTTCCTTCCTATTATTGCTTATACTCTCTCTACAACAAAATTAGAGATAAGGGCAAAATAGTTTCTGCTGGGTATTGAGGGGGGGGAGCGGGAGGAGGTGGAGTGGGTGGTAAGGGAGGGGGTAGGGGCAGGGGGGAGAAATGAACCAAGCCTTGTATGCACATATGAATAATAAAAGAAAAATGAAAAAAATAAAATAAAATCAGTTCGGTTCCCTGGAGTCTCCCATGCCCATAGAAGCTAGTGGGTCTCTTTGTCAACAGATGAAAATGACACAGGAGGAAGCCAAGGTTGAAAATATACCCATTCATACATTGATTTGTTTAACTTTTGCTTTGTTTTGTTATCAAAAATCACTATTTGACACTTGTACAGAAAAGTTTTGAAGTCCAAATATGCTACTTCCTCTGTTATAATTTTTTCCAAAGATTCTTTGGAACCAGATAATTATATCAAAATGATTATATAACATCATGTGTATCCTAGTCTGATAATCAAACAGTTGCTTGGATGAAAGATTCATGCAAAATTCACTTTCTGGTTGATGACTTCAGATAGCTGCATACTCACCTAGAGAAATAAATTGTCCTTAGATGTCTCTGTTGACTAACTCTCCCTTAAAAATTCATCAATTTCAATATTTTTGCTTAAATTATAGAATATTTAAAAAATACTTGCAAATTTGACAAATGAAGCTTACTATTATATTAAATTGTATTTATTCTAATATTAATGTGTTTCAACTTTATTTTTCTTCAAATACTCATTTTATTAATGTATTTTATCTTCTGAGTTGTCTATTTCTTGCATTTAATTTTTATTTGGATTTTAATTTTTTATTTCTCAGTTGATATTAGATTATCATGTAATAGGCAGTTTTGCAGAAAATATTTTTATAACTATTGCTTGACATTTTTAGAAGTAGTTACTATTTGTAGTTGAAGCACTGAAAACTTCTTTGTGATTTACTTCTCTTGCTTATAACTGTAAACTGTTCTCCACACTTTTAATTTCCTAATATTCATTTCCATTTCCCCATATTTTCTATGATTGGATTACCAATATTTTATCTTTTTGCTACCTAGAACCAGTCAAATATATATAAATGGTCTACTCTACTGGCTACTATGATAAAGATACTTTGATATTTTTATTGATCCTAATGATAATTATTACTAATTACAAAAGGGAGACACACCAATGTTATTGTAAGTGGTATGATTATAATCTTAGAAAATCCAATCTGGAGAGAGTAAACACATGCTAATTTACTGTACAACAAAATGAGTAACTTAACAGATATATAAAGACTCCATGCATACATAAAAAAGATCCCAAGAAATTTGCCTAGGGCAGTAAAGAATGCTCCATACAGAGGGAGATGGGGATTTATTACTTCAGGGTTACAGAGTTTCTGTTTGAAGTCATAATGGTTTTATAAAATATTTGTTTTTTAATTGATAAAACTTGTATACTTCTACCCTGTATTTATGGTGTAAAATGTGATGTTCTGGTGTATGTACATACTGTGGTATAATTACACAAGCCAATTAACATATCAGTCATGTCACATAATTATTCTTTGCGTGAGAACTTTTAAAATCAACTCCTTTAACAATTATCAAGTATACAAGGCATTGTTATGAACTATAATCAACAGATCTCCAGAATTTACCCATCCTGCCTAACTGGAGCCTGTCCCCCGGAGACCAAAATCTTCCCATCCCCCTCAACATCCTGTCTCCATTCTACTTTTGCTTCTGAGCTCAACTTCTTTAGATTCCACTTATAAGTGAGATCATGCAGTATTTGTCTTTCTCAGTCTGGCTTATTTCACTTAACGTGTCCTTCACTTTCATCCATGTTGACACAAATGGCAGGATTTCCTTTTTTAAAGGTATTTTCTTTGTTCATTCCTTTTTGGTGAATGTTTAGTTCAGTTTGATGACTATTATGAATTCTGCTGTGAATAATACTGCAAAAACAAAGGAATGAGGGTATCTTCTAAATATACCTATTCCATTTGCCTTTGGATATATATCCAGAAGTGTAATAGTTGATCTATTTTAAAGGAATCTCCATGCTATTTTTACATAGTGACTGGACTAACTTATATTCTCACCAACAGCCCACAAGGTTCCCTTTTCTCCCCATTTTCACCAACACTTATCTTTAGTCTTTTTGGTAATTGACATTCTGACAAATGTAAGGTGATTATCTTGTGGCTTTAATTTGCATTTCTCTGAAGATTAGTGAAGTTGAGGGCTTTTATATACCTTTTGGATATTTATACATCTTCTTCTAAAAAGTATCTATTCAAATTCTCTTCCCATTTTCTTTTTTTGATAGTAGGTACTGGGTTTTGAACTCAGGGCTACATGCTTGCTAGGCAGACATTCTACCACTTGAGCCATTCCACCAGTCCTGTTTTGTGTTGGGTATTTTTCAAGATAAGAGTCTTGAGAACTATTTGCCCAGGCTGGCTTTGAATTGCAATCCTCCTGATCTCTGCCTCCTGAGTAGCTAAGATTATAGGCATGAGTCACCAGTGCAAAGTTCTGCCCATTTTCTATTATTTTTTGCATAGAGATTTGAATTTCTTATATATTTTGGTTATTAACTCCTTATACAGTGTATGGTTTGCAAATGTTTTTCCATAGGTTGTCCTATCACTCTGTTGATTGTTTCCTTAGCTGTATAGGGATTTTTGGTACAATCCTATTGGTCTTATTTTTGCTTTTATTTCTTGTCTGTTTGAACTCATATAAAAAAATCTTTGCCAAAACTAATGTCAAGAAACTTCCCTCATGTTTTCTTCCAGTATTTCACAGTTTCAGATATTACTTTTAAATCTTTAATCCATTTTGAGTTGATTTTCAAATATGATATGAAATGGTCCACTTACATTTTTATCCTATGGGTTTCCAGTTTGCAAAATGTCTTTTATTAAAAAGATTATTCTTTCACCACTTTATGTTCATGACATTTTTGTGAAAAGATCAGTCAACCATAAATGCACATATTTATTTCTAGGCTCTCTGTTCTGTTTCATTGGTCTGTACATCTGTCTCAGGCCCTACCAGGCTATTTTGATTGCTATATTTTCTTGTCTTTTACTCAGGGCCTCACACATGGTAGGCAGGTGCTCTACAACTTGAGTCATTTTGCCAGTTCTTCATTACTATATTTTATAGTAGATTTTCAGATCAGGTATTCTAATGCTTCCAGATTTCATATTTTTGTTATTCAGGATCTTTTATAATTCCATACAAGTTTTAGAGTTTTAAAAATATTTCTATGAAAAATGTCATTGGAATTCTGATAAGGATCACATTGACTCTGTAGATTGTTTTGGGTCATATGGACATTTTAACAATATTAGTTCTAGTCCATGAACATAGTATATCTTTCTATTTCTCATGAAAAGATATTGAATTTTGTCACGTTTTTTCTGCATCTATGGAGATAATCATCCAGGTTTTGTCTCTCTTCTTGTTAATATGTCACATGTTTTTATTGATTGTGTACATT